TGAACTCAATATGTAGTCTAGGCTGACCTTGAATTCCCAGAGATCCTCTCCCTCAGTCTCCCAGCTGCTGGGATTACAGGTGTGAACCACCAAACCCAGTTCAGAGTTTCTTTTCTAATTTAATTTTTCAATTTAGTTGAAACAGATTTAGCTACAGAGATTAACAGTATAAATTTCACTTGCCCTCTATTTAACTATAACCTACTAAGACTTTTCTTCATCCTGTTTTTAATCCTAGCTCTTCACTAGAATTAATTTTTTCACATGATCATTTTTAATTTCCTAATTTGCTTTGCCTGAAGTTCTTTAAGTGGCTGAGATCAAAATGAGACCTCCCTCTTTGTCCCTCACACATACATATGCCTGAAAATCCATAGGTGCTTTCTTCTCCCTAGATCTCAGCCATGGTGGTGAGATTTGATCTTCCTGTAGAATGTGTAGAAATAACATGTTTCCTAGGAAATAAAGGTTTTAAGAGCATTATATTGAACTAAGAAAATAGTTTAGCCACAGCACCGTGTATATTATTTTTCATAAGGGAGTCCTTAGAAATCCAATTTGTCATTTAAATTTTTTTTCCCATTTGTGCATATCAACAGAATACAGATAATTTTAAAGAATTAAGTTGAAATCCTCATTGGAAAAAAATTTCCTTCCCATACCACTTCATTAAGTATTATTTCTTACATAATTACAAGCAAAGTATTCTATTACTATGCATGTCTTCTCTGAAAATATCATAGGATTATTTGAATGTATTATATACAATAACACACTTGTAAATCAGGAATGAGGGACTTCTTGCCCATGGACTAGTGTCTGTTTGTGTTTATATATAACACAATTGTTTTGTTTCACAAGTCTCTCTCTCCCTGTGTCTCTTCTTTTGCCTTTATAATTCCTTTTCATTCTGTGTCTCTTTTTTTAGTGTATATTTTTATTGAGTTTTTGTATATTTCATATAATAGCTCTTAATCAAATTTAGACTCCTTCTCCCATCCATGCCCTCCCTATGCCCCTCCCCACCAGATTTCATGCATTCTGTTATATGTTAAGGTCTCTTAATCAAACTCTTTCTGCTTTTGACTTTTGTATGTGTGTGTAGTACCCAGGATTGAACCCAGGACCTCATGCCTGCTAGGCAAGGCAAGCAATCTACCACTGAGCTGTATCCCCAGCTCTTTATCTCTGTCTTCAGTTCTGACAAAAATAAACAACTAAAACTCACATGATAATTATTTCTTAAAGAAAAGTATCCATTTCATGTTCATAAGTTTTAAATTATATTTTATTAGGATCATACAGACTACTAACACTCATTTGGTACTCATTGTGTGCCAAATATTTGCCAGATACTTTCTATGTTAACTCATCTAATATTCATATCTGTTCTTTGTAGTAGATGTAATTCATATACTCACTTTACAAATGAGGAAAGAGAGACAAAGAACAGAAGTAATTTGCCCAAGATCGTATTTAGTAAAGTACTGTAACCAGGATTTAGATCCAAGCAGACTTACTCTAGAGGTGACTTCATACTTAATAAGCCATCATTTCTGTTTAAGTACTCAATAAATGTAGTCCTTAGAGAGTCTTTAAAAAAACCAGTGTTTGTTCCTCCAATACCTGATATTTAGTATAATCCTATTTTATAATAAGTACCCAGTAAATATTTTGTTCAGTGTTAATTAGCTTGAATTGAAAACGTTAAATAAACCAGCCATGTATAGATTTCTCTCACGCTTGCTCTCGCTCTCTCTCTCTTTCTCTCTCTCTCTCACCATTGTAGGCTCAAAATTAGAGATTTTGAGCTAAAAATTTGGGGCTGGCAAGATGTCTCGGTGAATAAAGGTGCTTGCTGCCAAGCCTGATGACCAGAGACGTGAGTTTCAGCCACAGTACCCAAATAACAAAAGGAGAAAACCAACTCCCACAAGTTGTGTTTTGTCCTTTGACCTCCAGATGCACATGCACACGGGTGCAAGCACAGACAATAAATGTAACTAAAATGATTTTTTTAAGATTATTAAGATTTTTAAGGCAGGCATACTGACTCACAACCTATAAACTAAAGGCTTTAAGAGGCTGAGGCAAGAGGATTGCCACAAAGCCAGCCTAGGCTATGTTGTGAGTCCAGACTAATCAGGACTGCTTTGTGGAAACCCTGTCCGAAAACAAGAATAGCAATAAGATTTACTCCTTTAAAAATTCAAAAGACAGCTGGGCGTGGTGGCGCATGCCTGTAGTCCCAGCATTCGGGAGACAGAGGCAGGCAGATCTCTGAGTTCAAGGCCAGCTTGGTCTACATAGTGAGTTCCAGGACAGCTGGGGCTACAGGGAGACCCTGTCTCAAAAAGACACACACAAAAAAAATTCAAAAGTCATTAAAACTTAAAGCATAAATTTTGAGTTACATATGACTTCATTTCCCAATTGATCTCACTGTATAAATATGCAAATCCCTCTTTTATTCTCCATTCAAGTTTGTTGGGTTTCCCTCATGCTGCCTGCTTTCTGAGTTCTTACCCCCTCACCTCTATCTTGTTGGTTTAAGGATATGCCACTCAAGACTGAGAAGTCCTTGAAATGCAAAGCCTTCTAGCAGATATTGAGGCACAGTGGTATGAGACTGACACTGTGTCCTGGTATTCACAGTGCTGATGGATACTCTAATAGAAGATTCAGAAATATCAACACACAATTTACAGGAATGATGATGGATTATCACTTATGGATTGGGAAACATAGGGTACTATCAAGGCATATCATAGGGCAGGAAAGAACTCAATAAAAAAGTGATAGTTGACCCAAAAAGCTGAAGAATACATTGAAATTAGAGAAGAGAGTAAGAATAAGTAATTTTAGTAGAGGAAATAATAGCATGTTTGAAAGGCTGGTGATAATAAAGTAGAAAACTTGGAAACTAAAAGTTATTCTGGCTAGAGCAGAAAACAAGGAAGTAGTAGAATATAAAGTAACAGAGCTAGAAACTGACTCTCTCAAGCCATGTTAAAACTTCTAGACTTAAGTCAGGCTAGTGACAAGTGCCTTTAATTCTAGTACTCGGGAGGCAGAGGCAGACGGATCTCTGTGAGGTTGAAGCTAGCCCAGTCTACATAGCAAGTGCCAGGCCAGCTGGGGCTACAGGGAAACCCTGTCTCAACCCCCCCCCCAAAAAAAAACCAAACAAACCTTCTAGACTAAGGGCAGTAGGAAGGCGTTAAAGGTGAAATAAATGAAATAATCAGATGTGCACTTAAAAAAAAGTCTTCATGAATTCATAGTGTTGAATCCATTCCTGAAAACCTGTTAAAGAACTCCCAAAGTGACCAGCATAGAGAAAATAGTAACTTAAACTAGGTTGGTGGCACTCTAATGAAGAACTTTTCACTCAGGAATTGTCTGAGAGAGTTGATGATTGAATCAAGGCTGAGATTGAAGGATGAGAAGAATTATTACCAGATTTTAATTTGAAATCTTGGTGAATATAACCAGTTACTGAGGTTGGAACATAAATAGAATCAGATTTGGGAATTAAGATGAGCTCAGTATTATACTGAACAAGATATTGCACAAGTCTTTCAAATTGAAAAGTCTATAAGGTTGTAGGGGAAAACTTTGGACTATACATATAGATGTGACTCACTGGATATAGGTATAGGAGTAGCTTCCAGAATAAATATAATTGCCCAGGGGAAGCACTCTAATTAAAAAAAAAAGCTTAGGGTAGAGAACCCTGATATTTCTCTCAAAATTAAGAATCCAGGCATGGTGGTACATGCCTCTAATCCCTGCTCTCAGGAAGGAGGCAAGGGCAGGCAGATCTCTCTGAGATCAAGGCCAACCTAGTCTACATAAGTGAGTTTCAGGCCAACTGAGGCTACAGGGAGACCCTGTCTCAAAACAACAGCAACAACAAAAAAAGTAAAGCTCAAGTAGGCAAAGAGGATCAGTAGTGAACACAGAAAGAAGGAAGGAGAGTTGCAGTGAGAATATTACTAAGAGGTAAAAGGTAGTGTGGATTGAGGTAGTAGTTTCTGGTGCTTTAACAAGGACCACTTGCACACCATGGAGAGGAACTAAATTTGAAGTACTTAGAAGATAAATACATAGTTTCTTTATGAAATTTAGCTGTGAAAGGATGGACAGGGTAGAACAGTGGCTGAAGTAGAAAGACTTGGAGAGGGATGGATTAGTTGATTGTTTTATGTGAGGGAGGGAGAAGCTTGAACAAGATTGTTTATTAAAGGATCTGGTAGATAATGATAAAACAGAAAAAAAGGAAAATGGCTAGGCAGAGTCTGTGAGATGCAAACAGAAGCTGGACTTGATCTCTTAAATTAGGACTTAGAGGAGGACGGTTGATCGTGTAGCTAGCGACTCCTGTTTTCTCTGTGAAGTAAATGGCCAGCTCATTTCCTGAAAATGAAGGAATGTAGGTAGGTGTGAAGTCTGAAGACAGAATGAAACAGTGTGTTGCTTTCCTCCAGCAGTGATTGGCACTCCAGATGTGAATACAGAGGTAGCTAGTTGAGATATCCGAGCTTGGCATTTTGCTCTATTACTAGTGAAGGATGGGAAATTTAGGATATTGGCAAGAATTTAAATTCAAAATATAAGACCATCAGCTAGGGAGAAAAGTGAAGATAGGAGAGATATTAGGGGCAAATAAGAGTACTGGGTGGTTGAAGTGGATTCAAGCAGGAACATTAAACAAGTATGATGGGAGTGAGAGTGAGCTCAGAGAGCTGGAGCATAGTATGAATTATATCAGTGCTGATGGTAGGGTCCAGGTATGCTTTGGAAGTGAAGAGTGCACTTGTCTATCTGACAGTGTCTTACATCCAGGACTGTGAGTTCATTCAGCTTTTGAAATGCTTGGTATAGTAGTGGATCTTGAAATAGAGAGGAGAAAAAGCTCAAGCCACTTTCTGAGTCATCAGTTACTGAGGATGGGTCTAAATGTTGAACTGAAGGCAAAGCTTTAAAAAGGAGCATAAACTTATTACAAGAGGTAGAAATAGACCTCTTATTTGGCTTGGATTTTTTTTTTTTCATCTTTTTGAGACAGGGTCTCTCTGTAGCCCTAGGTGGCCTAGAACTCACTTTGTAGACCAGGCTGGCCTTGAACTCACAGAGATCTGCCTGTCTCTACCTCCTGAGTGCTGGGATTAAAGGCATGTGCCACCATGCCCAGCTGGTTTGTAATATTCTTAATCTGCCTGGATCCAATATTTCTCCCTTCCATTTTCTTATACACTTGCTAAATTTCCCTTAATGCCACTGCCATGCAGCAAAACCTCAAAACACTTCTTTCTGCTAAGAAAATGAAAGTGAGAGCCCTCACCTGATATTTGGACCCTTCATGATTTGGCTTACCCCCAATCTGTCTGTACAGCTCTGTTGTTGCTTACCTAATCTGTAATGCTCTCAAATAGATACCAACCCCACTTTCTGCCCATACTGCTTGCTTTCTTGCATCACTTGGTCATGTCCCTTCTCCACATTGCTGCATCTCCAACACCTGCTATAAGACACACAGAGCTTCTGTACTCTTTCAGGTCAACATAAAAGGAATTGCTTTCTTGTCTGTACTTTAATAGTAATCCATTGTATAATTTTAAGTATCTGTATCCCTTATGTTCCTGGACTATAAACTCTTTTGAGGACAAGATTTGTGCCTGCCTTTGTCTGAATCCCTTCAGAATTGTACAAAGCATAAACATGGAATAAGTAAATAAACTCTTAAGATATTTTAGTTGTATTTTTTTGGTTATTGTTGTTTTCCCTATGATTAACCTTTTTAGTAGATATAAAATTATATTTGTCAATAAGTGATTATTCTAAAAGAGAAAATTAATCTCTTAACTTTACATTGAAAAATATTAAGTGTGTATGTTATGCTTGTATTCACAGCCCCATGCAATCATTCGTCATACCATTAGATCTACAAACAGGAATGCCAGAGCTGAACGGACAGCTTCAGAAATAAATTGTATGTTCTTGGTATACCTTTTCCATTGTTGGTTTTGGGGGGTTGAACTGGTGATTCTTGTATTTTTTATGGAATTACAAATAGAGACTACATATTTCAACATACCAGAATACATCAAAATGTAGGTTTTATTAGAATTTTGTTAGTTGTTTTTAAATTGTTTTATTTACTAATTTTGAGAATAATTGTGCCAGTTGCAGGAAATTTACAAGAAATAAAAAATGGAAAATTAACATTTCACATCATCACATAACCCACAACCATCCCATTGTTAATATTTTTCTTTCTGTTTTTCCATGAATATTTTATGTGGCTGAAATTCCACTATCCATATAATTTTACCTAATAGAAAAACATTTTTCTGTTTACTGGCATTGACGTTATAACTATATGTTAAAGGCAAACAGTTGCCTATTGTTGAGTGTTTGGGCTGGTTTTACATATTGTATAACAGCATGTAGATGAATCTTTTCTAAAACAAATATTTAAAGGAGAATTTTGATTTTTTTTAATGAGTCAAGCATATAGCAGCCATGTTTATCACCTTAGTTGCTTTTAGAACAATTGGAAAGAATGTAGATATGGATTTCTTGACTTCAGTATGTATTTGTTTCAAGACATATAAAGTAGTTTACAACCAAATAAGATCTGTGACTGAGAGTACAAATAGAATTTTGGCTATAATGGAGGAAGATAATTCCTTAATTATTTGGGCCAATTAGAATTTCTGCAGATGAGTTTGGGTTTTTTGTTGCTGTGTAGCCCACACGAGCTTCAAACTCACAGTGATTCTTCCTTAGCTGCTAGAGTACTGAGACTATAAGGGAATACCACCACAGCTGCCGTAAGTCTGAGTTTTCTTGAAACCAAGTCTTTCTAGCTATTCAGAAGAATGTCTTCCCATATCAGTTATTCAGCAGGACTCGTCCAAGTCAAAGGCATTTATTTATTTATTTATTTATTTATTTATTTATTTATTTATTTATTTATTTATTTATTTATTTATGTGCCCACTGAAGCATCTTGCCAGTCTCTTGCTACCTTCTTGTTTCCTTGTACATGATGAAAAAACTGTGGACCCCAGATACCAGAGTGGCAGTGTTGATGTTCATTTATCAGCTGTATTTACTTGGGGCTGGAAAGATGACTCAACTGTTAAGAGCACTGGATGCTCTTGCAGAGTACCTGGATTCAGTTCCCAGCACCCACATGGCAGCTAACAACTGTTCTTAACTCCAGTTCCAGGGGTTCTGACAACCCTCTTCTGACCTCCATGGGCATTGCACAACACGGATGTACTTATATACATGGAGGCAGTACCCTAAAACACATAAATAAAAATAATAAATAAAATATTTTTTAAAAGGTGCATATTATGTTGCTATGTAGCATTCTACTAATGTAATCTAATTTGGCATTTGTTTTATAGCCTTTGTGTTCTATGTGTTTAAATTCTTCTGGATACAAAAGAATTTTCTTATGGCCTCCCATATTTTTGCAGTTTCTTTAATATTTAAATCTTCACTATAAAGTATTTAGAAGTTAGAAAGTAAGGATTCATCTTTATTCTCTTCTAGATAACTACCCCTTTGTTTCAATCTATTTGTTACAACTTCTAATCATTTTTTCTCATGGATTAGAGATGCCATCTAAGATTTATTGTAATAGTAAATTCCCATATGTATCATAGGACTATTTTCCTGGAAATTGTATCCTGTTGCTTTGATATATCTATTCGTGTGCCAGTAGTGTACTTCTGGTTATTACATCTGCTAAAATCCGTTAGGACTCATTCTCCTCCTACTCCTGGCCTCTCTTCATCCACTGGCCATACATACATTGTTTTATATATTTGATTATTATATATGTAAATTTTTTTATTTATTTAATAACCACATTCTTGGAAGAAGCATTTCATTACAACAGCATTGACATATTCAATAACAATTTCCTGAGCTAAGATGCATCTCTTTCAAAATTGGCTGTAAGTTTTTAGGTTTACAGTTGAATTAATACAGTTATATAACATTAATCTCTATATATCTGATTATTACTAGTC